TCGGGTGGCGATATGACTTTTTTCCATTTCTAAGTGTAGCTCCTGATATCAAAGAACCCAGATGCTGCCGTGAAATGCTTGGCAAAAACTGCATTTTATTGCACGTTCAAAATTAGATCGATGGAACTTCAGATTATAAGTGACTGAAGATTGCCGCGAACACTTTTTGATGAAAAGAAATGCTTACATGGAATTCTATTCATTCCTGCCTGCCTCCTCGATTCCTCCCTCACTCGTTACTGGTCTGGCTCCCTTTTCTAATTACTCATGAACTTACTCATGAACTCTAATTACTCGTGAACTTGAAGCACGCACACTATTCAAAACAACCATCCAGTGTTAAAAGTCAAATAACCCTTTGTATTCACTCTCAGCAAGAGGCGAAAGCACTTCGAAATTCCCAAGTAACAGTAAATGCCGACAGCAACCACTTGCTGTCAAAATTCCTCTTCTGGAGAATTCCTTGCAAGCAAGATGTTATCAAATTTCAAGCCCCCCAGTAAACTAGGAAAATTGAAAGTGCTCGCAATAGCTTAGCGTAATGCTTTGAAAGTAGTCATAAAGGTTTTTAAAAAGTTTCAGGATGTTTCAATTTTTAATTGACCAGAAGTATGTCCAAACACAGAAAAAATTGGTCGCACAATAAGAAATACGTAAAAGTCAAAGAATTCTGAACTATCTTTGCGCTCCTGCCGCTAAAAAGTGTGACAGGACTAACTGCTCCCAGGAAAAAACAATTCAGCCTTGGTTATCGCTCACTGCTTTGGTATCCCTAACTCATTCATGCCACCTCCTCGTTCTATTTTTTTAATCCGACCTCCGAGAAAAATTCTGATGATATATCGAAATGAATTTTCCAGTGCATGGCCGAAAAATATAATTGCCCGAATGACGTATGGTTAATAATCGCATTTGGATGAGTAAACCGTATTCATCCCAAAATAATGCAAAAATTTATGGAAATCTGAATCGGAAGAATTCAGGACATCCCCGAAGATACCTTGAATTTTTGCAGAAAAAATCACCAAAATTACTTGCAAAAATTCAGGCTAATCTCGGAGAAAGGCAATCTTCCACTTTTATGATCAAAGGTACAGAATAACCATAATATTAACAGTATCAAAAAAAAAAAAAAAACTGAGAAAAAATTAAGAAAGAATAACCTTCTTGATTTCAGCAAGTTCCCTGAGGGCTTGTTCATTTGGCTCTTTGGCCTAAAAAAG